ACACTGAAGCATACTCTATACTTTACAATATTAAAAACACAAAATTAAACAATATGCTATTAATAAAAACACACAAAAAACTAAAGTCTATTTTTTTGCCAATATCACCCAACCCCAACATAAATACAGGGACAATCAGCCAATCAGAGCCAGGATCAGAGAAATGATGGAGCTCACAGGCATGGAGGATAAATGGTTTTTCCACTTTCTCTAAAAAGTGGTTCAGAAATCTTACAGCTCCTCTGTTCTGCAGAGTTTTGGTCACTTAGTTTAGTTGAAACCTGTTTTTGTCTGAATTCATCAGACACCCCATTATTTAACCACACAGTAAAAGAACAACAGCACAGCAGTGACTCAACGACAGGAGCGAATCAGCACATTCCTAACGTGGAGCGCCGCCGGACCTCAGCGCTCACAGACCGCCCTGAATCAGCCGTGTTCACAAAAACCAACCACAACACTGGATACTGACTCATGTTACAAACGCTAAAACGTCAAACATTAATAGTTCCCCGTGTCTCATACAGGAACCCACATATCCAAGTTCCATTGTGTCAGCTTTCAAAATAGACTTTAAACTGACTCACGGCTCTAAAAGTGTGTCATTTCTTTGATGAACTTCCTTTATTTGAAGTGGCCAAAGCGTGACCTCTCACTGCCTCTTCCTCTCTTCTCTTCCCACCAGTTTGAACATTTTAATTCCAGGACTCCTTCTTATTCAGAAACAAATTGTAAAAATAGTCTGCTGTGTTGTTTTTTTTAAACCATCACTTTCAGCAGTTCACATTTTTCTAATTGAGGAGTTTAAATAATATTCTAGCACCTTTAAAATTAAAAGGATCATATTTTGTCTGGTTTTCCACATAAACTTGACCCAAATAGGCAGATAAGACATTTCACTGCTACAGATGTCAGCATGAGTTTACACATTTACTTTTAATGAACTCAGTGATGTGTCGGTGTGAACTTCTCTGTTTTATTCATTTTAATATTTCAGCAGCTGCTGCTTTGAAGCTTGCTGAGAGCTTATTCAATTCCCAAGATGTTGACCTCTTCCAACAAGGTTATGGTTTTATGTTTGCAGGATTAAGCAAAGACTGCACAACAGATTTTTATTTTATTATTACTCCTAATCGATGCGTGAGCCGTGGAAGTGCTTATTAAATGTTGATGTGTGCGCCTGGAGAATTGTAGCGCAGCCAACGAGTTGGAATTTCTGGCAGCTTAAAGCACAAAAATAAAAAAAAAACTTTTGAGCCCGATTTTGGCTAAATGACGTACCGTGGGATTAGAGTCGGAACTTTATCAAACCGTGTTTGATAAGAGAAAAAGCAGTTATGATTGAACTTTTCTGCCAATGTGAAAAAATTTAGGGGACAGTATTTGGCCTGATTAGAGTGCACACGTGTTAGAATGAATACAATATAAATGTAAAGAGACGGCAGTGGGAAATGTAACCATGGGTGTTTAAACCTGATCATTTAAACATGAATAACCTTGAGTTTTATTATGGTAATTTTTAACCTTTTCATTCACAAGTCAAAAAATTGAAATTCTGATCACAAAGTATGGACAAAAAAAGTGTAAGTAAAAGCATAAGCTTTTTATACCTTCACTTTTTTATACATGCAGCATTATTAAAATCAAAACAGCAGCGTGTTACTAAATAATAACCTGCGTTTTTGTGTATCTCAGTCTAAGAGATGTTCTCTTTCTTTTCTGTCTTAAATCAATTTTTATTTTTAATTTTAAAGATAAGAAAGGTCAAATCATTTTAGGCAAACATTCTAAACCACGTGTCAAACTGAAGGCCAGCGGGCCAAATGTGGTCCCCGGGTAATTTCTGTTGGGCCCCTTCAAAATATATATTATATATAAATTTTTTTTCTTTACTCAACATGAAAATTGTTTTTATATCAGTGGTAAACTTAAAATTTACAATTAAATGCAACAAAATAATCTAATTTAAAGGGTGAAAGATAAAAAATACTTGTCCTGCCACAAAGCTGTTGGCTTTAAGTAACTGAGTAGTTTAGCTGAATAGCACAGTATTAAGTAAGGTTATTTAAAGCCAGCATCGACCAAAATCTACATCTACCATAATGCATGTCCACAGTGCATGGGAATTCCTTGTAGGAAATTGAGAGAGTTCAGAATCCAAGATGGCAGCTACACACTACAACTTATCAGTGAGTAAAACTCTTTTACTTTTAATAGTATTTCTGTATTATTTACTTCACATTCAGTCATACACGTAGTACTTTTCAACGCTTTTAAGATGTGTTGAAACACTGTTTCTATGCAGGAAATACCAGGTAGAGCTCAGTTAGTGTTTGTTAGCTGTGTTCAATCGTATCAGTGAGACCAGGATTGTGTTGAGTAAAATTTACACAGTTTAGGAGTGCTTCATACAACGTAAAAAGTAGATTATGAGATCAAAGAGGTAGATGTACGTCAAAAGTGAGTCATTTGCTTTGATAAATCCTGACAAAAAAAAATTCTGATCTTTATTTAATGTTCTGCTTGCAGGTGCTGCGTACCTTGCAGAGGCTATAGATGATGATGAGTGTGGCTCCCAGGAAGTAACTGTTGGAGGGCTCCTCTCCCATGATGTATTTGTACCACAGCTGGATGGGCACGAGAGCCCGAAACAGCTGGCTCAGCTCCTCAATCAGCAGGTAGAACTTACCCTGGACAAACAAACAGTTAGCAGCGAGGACGGTGGCCGAGGCCCCCGGTGAGCAAACGTGTTCGTCAAAAAGCAATAAAAATAGTTTCAAACTTCTTTAAAATGTATTCTTTCTCTGAACCGTCTACAACCCAGATCGAGCTCGGCAGCTTCGGGGCCTTCTTCTATCTAGTGAAGAACAGTGTGGTATTAAAAGCTTAAAACTGCACGCCAGCAGCCCAAACATGGCCGCTGTCCAGCTCTCAGCAGCTTCACAGCAGCACGGGCAATTTCCCCACACTGCAAGGGAAACTGGCAGCGCCTCTGTCCACCTGCTACCCCAGTGCCCACATTAAGTCCAGCCTTATGGGGGGGCTTCACTAACGGTCTTTGAAGGGCCTCCCCTCCGTAATCGCAAGAAAAGAAACGCTCTCCAGTACCCGCTGCTGCAAAGTGTGTGAAGTGAATCAGGGGCAGTTAGGCGGGTAAAATGAAGGCAAAGTTGAGCCCCCCCCCCACACACACACACCCGCCCGACGGCCCCCCTACCCCACCTCATGGCAGCTCAGCTTGTGTGATGACTTCATGCTCGGCCGAAGACAAAGATTGATGACTGTTGGAGAGGAGGCACGGGCGGCGAGGGTTGGTAGCAGGGAGAGAGACCTCTGCTAACCACTAATTCATCTTCCTTATTGTTGCCACCGCCTCGCATCCCACAGTGCCCATCACGCCCACGCCAAAACTGTCAAATTTTAAGTTTGGACACAAGCCAGACGATTTGACTAAGCTCCACCGCAGGCACTGTTTGAATAGTTTCCTCCTCGGTTTATTTATTTATTTATTTGAAGGAGAAAGTGTGTGGGAGATATGGTTTGATTAGTTACGGCTTTATTTTTTATCTGCGCCATTAATCAACTGAATTGGAAAGCCGGTACGTTCACGTGGGCTCCTTGTTTGGTGAAACTAAAGTTACAGTTTGTTTATTCTTTTAAAAAAAAGTGAAATAACAAGCGTGATGAATTAAATGGGCTCATTGCAAAGTGTAAAATAAACATAATAAAAGGTTATCCTAAATGTATTAAATAGTGCAGTGTGTAAAAAAGAACCAACAAATCTTTATAGACTTATTATTGGCAATATACTGTATATATATATATATATATATATATACTGTATATATATATATATATATATATATATATATATATATATATATATATATATATATATATATATATATATATACACATACATATATATTGTATGTAAATAGCGCTCTCATGGAAAAACATCAGGAAACCAAAAATATATAGATGGCTTTTGGAGTCGACTACTTCAGCTCTTTCTTATATAAAAAAACAACTAAAAACATAAATCCCACCAGATTTGGGACCCTTCATTCACTATGTAGGGGGCACCGACTTGACACAATTGATGGGAGTGTCAGAAGATACAGAAAATATTAGCCTTCAGCAGTGTTTTTTATATTGAAAAAAAACTGGGATGGGAGATATGTGTTTGGGTATTTAATGTTAGTAGATGTATTTTTTCAAATTCTCATTAGTTTTTTTGTTCTGTGTTAATTGTAAAATGTTAAAACAAATAAACTGTTGGGGAAAAAATAGTGCTGTGTGATTGTATTTAAACTTTCCTGAAATGCAGGTACGCACTCAACGCAATTGACAATATTTTTTCCACATTAAGACTGGAATGAGGTGAACAAAGCTGTCCGAGTGGAACGTTGCTGCAGGGCACATCACTGCTTCTTGGGGGAGCTGGAATCTGATGTGTCTCGTACCACTTTCCATTGAAGACACAGAAAATTTGTAAATATTTGGATTTATGATAACTGGATTTCTGCTGATCGGAGGAGGCGGATTCCTGATCTATCAAAAAGTGAAAGTGATCCTAACAGCGGTCCGGGCCGTTGAGAAGCTGCCATGTGCAGTGGATGGATTCTGCCAGGATGGGAGCACACAGACTCAGTTGCTGGGGGGAGATAAATCGCAAACTGGATGTGGTTTTGATGAGGATTGCAGCTCAGGAGCGTGCCTCGGCATGTAGGATCATATCTGGGTGAAGGTCCAGACGGAGAGGCGAGGAGGACCCCGAATTCGGCTGATTGGGATTTTTTTCGCCACTTCAGAAGCTGTGTGTCCATTGCAAATGTGCGCAAAACTTTGTCGATGTTCTGTTGATGTTGAAAAACACAATTTCGCAATTGCAATGTTTCTATTAAGTAAGAAATGTTATTAAAGTCACGCGTGAATACATTTGTTCTCGTGATAAGTCATTACAAACATGGCGGCAATGGATGTAAACATGCATAATTGCTACCATGGAACTAGCGCTCATCATCACAGTCTGCGTCTTTTCGAGGCTTCCGAGTGACAAGGTCCTTATACTTGGGAGCGGCTACGTATGAAGCATTTTTGGGAAATAGTAGTCGGTGAGTTTACTACTTTCTTTTACAACTTCTGTGATTTTACTACCAATTCTACTTCCTGTTGTCTTCTTCTTTGTCGTCTTTTTCACCAGTAGAAACAGCCGGTTGTTGATCACGTGACTCCCGTGATGTGAAAAAAGTGTTTCCATTGCAGTTCTGCGAGACACACCAATTTCGATACGGCCGAAAAACCACCTCATCTTAGCGCAAAACCACTTTTTCACAAAAGGAAGTTTTTTCGAAACCGACGTGTTTCCATTGAGCAAATTTATTTTCGAAATTCTAATTTGCGTATTTTCATGGTCAATGGAAACGCAGCTAGAGATGCAGTTAAGACATTAAAAGCAGCAGGAAATTCAAGGCTGTTTTGTCCCAAAACAATTGTGTGTATCGATTGGCTCCCAGCGGCTTGGCCTCGACTGCCATGCTAACTAATCTCCCCGTGGATGATATGTCAACAAGGGCTTGATTTCCTCCCACCCTCATCACCCGTGTTGGAGCTGGCTGGTGGACCCAAGGCTAAGGAGGAGTAGACTCTGAACTCTGGTGAACCGAGCAGGAGACGGTAACATGTGACTCTGGACTCTGGCAGATCTAGGGTCGGGTTATAACACGGAGACTAGGGTTGGGCAATATTGGCAAAAAAATTAATCACGATTACTTGTGGTATTTAGTCGATAACGATTAATTTGACGATTAATCCCCTGGAGTCCCGGGACACACTTTTGTCCTGGTCACATGACCAATTTAGTGTGAAAGATTTGATCTTCATAAAAATCTGTTTCAAATAGTGTCGAAATTACAGACTTCAGGCTATACATCAAATTTTAAATTGTGTTGATAGATAAATAAAGTACAGAACCTTTTTTAATGTTTTTCATATTTGAAGCGGAGAGGAGCACCGAACAGACTGACTGGAGGAGTCTTCAGTCAGTCTGCCTGGTGGCATTAATCATATTAATCGTCAAGTGCTAAAAAAATAATTGATTAATGTTTTTATGATGATTAATTGCACACGATACAATTATGCCCAACCCTAACGGAGACCCACCCTCAATGTCACCAGCTCCACTGAATTCCACCTCACCTCATGTGTTACTTGACCCAAGCTCCCTCCCCGCCCCAGCTGTCTTGCTCTGTCGCGAGTGTTTTTTTGTGCATATGATTTTATGTTTCTGACGTAAATATAAGATCAGAGCAATTTTTTTTAACTCATCTCTCCTATTGTGTATTTCCAAGCTGCAAAAGGTAGCGCGACCACGTTGCACATGACCTGTTCACCTGTTCCCCCATTTGTCACGTGTGTCTTCTTGAATGGGTGTTCTTAAATGCAAATTTTGTTCAACATTGCATCCCTGATGTTATGTTTGAATGACAATAAAGCGATTCTGAACGTAAACAAATGCTTTAGTGACATGACTGACCTACATTATGCTGGTCCTAGTCTGTAAACAAAAGGGTTCAAACCTTTTGCTTGGTGTAAAAACCTTTCCGGCATCCAGACTCGATGCAGATCTCCTGACGAGTCTCCACCTTCTTACCTGCTGATACTGAAGCAGACTTGTGCTGACTGCAGTCATCATTAGTGATTCCCTGACTGGCTGCAGGAAAGAACTTTAATCACTAATTATGTGACCTCACCGGGTGCAAAACAGTCAGTCTCACAGAGTGCTGCTGAGACTGCGTGTGAAATAATGAAACAATGTGGGATTTTCTAAAACTCAGCATGTGTTCCGTGTGTTTTTGTGTGTGTGTGTGCGTGTGTGCGTCAAGAGGAGGATACAGGTAATGGTCCAGCTCCACAGAGGGATGACCTCACCCCTCTAGCTCCCCTGAGGGTAAATGAGCTCAGTTGCTCGCTGGCATGGTTCTGATGTGCCTCCAGGTTTGTTTATCAGTGGAAAATCTAATCCTTAATACTTCCTAACTAAACACACACACACAAACACAACGGCACTGTAAACCGCACCTGTATAAAAAATTAAAGTCAGCTTGTGTTTGCAGTCAGAAGTAGCCTCAGGCCTTCAAACACTCCTATGCAGACACCCACATGCACCAAGTGCACCTCAGGAGTTCTGTTCAAAATCTTATGAATACAAAACAGCTTCACACTGTGACCCTTCAGCCCTTTTACACTCAGGGGGAATTTTCCATCATAACTTAGTAAAGTTTTTTTTTGTTTATTACCTCCAAATCACAAACTAGCTCTAACTTTGAGTTTGAGCTTCATGCAGCACAATCAAACCCTTATATTGGGTAAAATAAAATAAAAATAAAAATAAAATAAAATAAAATAAATACAATTAAATTAAATTAGATTAAATTAATTCAGACTGAGAACAAAAGTTGAACTGTGAGGAGACATCAGGAGCACATTTGTAGTGCACTCGCTTTCCAACAAAATACGCTAGATACAGCATGGATGCGCAACACCAATGCACCAGAACTCACCAGAACAGATTTATTGTTTTGAGTGGGGGGTCCAGAGGGGATGGTGGGGCTCATTGGTGGGCCGGATCAATAGCCCTTCATTAGAGCTAAACAACAAAAATAAATCTTCTGTGTTGAATAGTTTTTGTGTTATAAAATTTTTTGTATGTCCAGACACAGCCTTTTTAGATGGAGTCCCCTCCTCTAATATGGGGTCTATCGTAAAACCGTTGGCGGGCGCAGCGTAGGTCGGACACATCTACATTCCTGCCAAACTTCACGTTAATTGGTGCAGCCTTTTCCATGCTAAGGTTAACCAAAAATCTTGAAAAATAAAATAATAAAAAATAATAAACAATACAAAAACAATGTAATAAATAAATAATTAATGATGAAAGCCACTGCACTTTCAGGATAAAAAAGTTATTGTTGTGTGCTTTTTTGTGGAAAATCACGAGCAATTTAACAAAAAATGCCACAACATTAAAGGGATCCCTAATTAGTTGTAACGTTAGACTTTATTTTATAAACATTTGTTTTAACTGTATAATAAAGACTGTAAAAATACTGTAGGCTTTTAAGTTGAATAAATTTTTAAAAATATATTTTAACAGGGACTGAGCCATTTTATTTACACGCGAAGCATACTGGCTAAATAATGATGTTGATAGGTCCTCGGTGTGAGGCTGCTAGCGAGCTATATCCACCCTGAAGGTTAATCTTGGACAATATCTGATGATCGACTCTTTTAAATGAAACCAGAGAGCGTTGACAGAGAGGAGAAGGTAGAAATGACTCAGCCTGGAACTGAAAATATGGATGGAGGACAACAGAGCTGCTTCATGGAAGAAGAACCTCAGCTTAGCCTGTTAGCCTTTGTGCTAGCACTGACACTATATTGCCATATATGTATTAGCTCGGCGCTAGTGCGACAAACTAAACTGAGGTCCTCCATCCATATTTTCAGTTCCAGGCTGAGTCATTTCTACCTTCTCCTCTCTGTCAACGCTCTCTGGTTTCATTTAAAAGAGTCGATCGTCAGATATTGTCCAAGATTAACCTTCAGGGTGGATATAGCTCGCTAGCAGCCTCGCACCGAGGACCTATCCACATCATCATTTACCCAGAATGCTTTGTGTGTAAATAAAACGGCCCCGTCCATGTAATATATTTTTAAAAATGTAGTTTAAAAATTATAAAAACTGAATAGCCTACAGTATTTTTAGTCTTTATTTTACAGTTAAAATAAATGTTTATCAAATAAAGTCTAATTGTTACAACCGTGGATCCCTTTAATGCTAAACGAAAAATATGGTCTGCAATAAATGTATGCCACAGTTTTGTTTTCTCACTCCTTAAGTTCCCCTAGTCATCCTAATGTTCATGATGCTCTGTGCTTCATGGCATCTAAGTCAAGTCAAAACACACGCTCTCCTTTCCTCACCCTGGATTTGAAGGCCATGAGAATCTTGGGCAGAAAGAGGACGAAGCACTTCAGGCCGATGGTGACGTATTTCAGGATGAAGTCAGTGATTCCCACAACCCAGATCAGATCGAAGAAGTCGAAGCCGCTCAGGTTGGGCTTCCCAAACATCAGGCTGGAAGAAAAAAAACCCACAGCAATTTAAAGAATTCAGCATTATGACAGCCAATGCATTTACTTAGAATGAAATAAGAACAAATAGAATGGGGAAAATGTTCAACACAAAAAACAAAAACATTAAAACAAATACAATACTCACAGGACGACAAGAAGTAACACTCCCTACAGGAAATGGAAGTGAAAATAAAATGTCTGGCACAACATAAAAATGGAGTGAGCAAAATATAAAATTATATTGATAACAAAACAGGATGGTAAGCACAAAAAAAATAAAAACACAAAGTAAATCTAAAGGCGCGTTTGTCTCCACACACCTGCTGTGCAGCTCCTCCTGACTAAATGTGTAGTAGATATACACAATGTTCCCCGTGAGGAACGTGACGATCCACAACGCAACAAACACCGAACGCTCGTCCTGAAAAATAAAAATAAAAAATAAAAAGGAACTGTGGAGAAACTGTGCATCTTTGTTTTAAAGAGGCAACTAAAAACTATTTGCAAAAAAAACCTGTAAATCAGCCACATTTCTGGTGCTCTTAGCACGATTGAGTCAATCTGTCTGTTGGTTCCATGAGCAGCGAGCATGAATAAAAACTCCACGTATTTCAGGAAAGTTTCTGCAAGTCAACAAAAAATGCACATTTCCCATATTGTTTATTTATTTGTTGTTTACCCGCAAAGACACTTGGTGCTTGAATGTAGAATTGGCGTAGGCGAACGTGCTGATCATCCCCACACACACGGAGATTCCTGCAAGAAAGAGGTTCAACATCAGCGCCACGTAAAGCCCGTCTGACGGGTGTTTGCAGTGCTGGCTCTAGCCATTTTGGTGCCATAGGCGAGTTGAAGCCCACCCCCCCCCCCCACGAACTATGTCCCACCCACCCCAATTAAAACCCCTAAAACTAAGTTTGACAGTGTAAGGTACTGTGGTAAGCTTAAGATTTATTTGCTTTCCCAGAAAGCAAATAAATAACAACATACATGTCAGCTTGTGTGGATTGTCCGTAAGTTATAAGGGTTTTATGTCATTTTGCAGGTATACGGACGTTTAGGGTAATCTCACGGATTTTTTTTCAAAACCTCATTTTCAAATTTATCTACCATGTTTGAGCCTGTAGGATTATTTAAAAACAATAAATAACATTAAATAGCCATCTTCCAACCTGTTCTGCCGCTAGAAATAAGTTTTGAACTTTTTCCGCTCTCCTTTCTTCCTGCTTTGCAGCGGGTGCGAGTTGTATGGATTTTTTTGCAAAATTTATGGATTTTTGAGGCTTTTTATCCAGGTAAACGTCCGAAGAGGTTTACATGTATGGGACAACAAAATACAGACTTGTTGTTGTTGAGTTTGTCAACATGAACCGCTATCTGAGATGCACTACGAGCCCCTCCCCCCGTCAGAGTGTCGGAGCAGGACGAGTCAGTGCAACGTCAATCTAATGAGAGAGAGGGTGGGGGCGATTGCTGCATGGGGGGGTGTTTTATGGGTATTTTATTTTTCCTGTAATACTTCATTAGTTTTTTTAAGACAAAGCTAGTTGAAAGGGGAGCTTAGCAGAGTTACAATCAGGGATTACAATTACTTTTTTTCTTCTGCAGTTCGGCGCCCCCTCCAGCAGATGGCGCTCTAGGCGACCGCCTAGTTCGCCTATGCCAAGAGCCAGCTCTGGGTGTTTGGAGATGTTTGCAGTGCTGCTGCTGTGGGCCTACCTAGCTTGTGCTGAAAGCAGACTTTAGCCAGCAGGATGAGGATGAAAGGAAAGCCCCTCTGCAGCCAGGTGACCACAGCCTTCAGCTCAGACAGAGCCGGAGCTGGAGTGGACTGCTCGTCCTGGGCCTCCTCCCTGGAGCCGTGCCGCTCGGAGCCGGCCGCCGCCGTGGTGGCCTGCTGGAGCAGAGAGGAGGTCCGGTGCTGCAGGGGCTGGTGGTGGAAGTGGTGGTGGTGGTGATGGTGGTGATGGGGCGGGCGCGGGAGGAAAGGCCCGCCCTCCGTTCGATGGGCGGACCCTTCGTCTCTGGAGGACCCGGTCATCTGGATGAAAACTTCAGGCGGGGAGCCCAGGACTAAGCCGGCCGCCTGGAACTGGGCTGGGGAGACGGAGCTGGAGGGGACCCCCACCAGTCCTGAGAAGAGCTGCTGGGGTGAAGTGGACGAGTCGGGCTTCAGGCAGTCGAACACGCTGCCCTCATCCAGGCTGCTCTCTGATCCCAGGGTTTGGCTTCGACTTCTGAACAGGAACACAAGATGAAAAAAGAATTGTATAGAAAACAATTATGCTTTAGTTCAGGGCTGTTTAACCAAACTGCTCCGGGGGCCACAGTTACTGCAGCTCAGGGGCCAAACATCCAGCAATTAAAGTTATTATGTAAATAAACCAAGTATTACAAAGATCTGTTATCTTTGAAATAGTTTATTTTGCTGCATTTAATCTTAAATACAACATACAGAACCCTCTAAAAGTAGTGATAATTAAACATTATCAAAAACAAAAAGTACACTTTCAGCCTACTATTTAACACAACTATTATTTTAACATCTCTGACTTGCCAGATTTTAAACCAATTGTATTTTCACTTTCATAGTTTTATCTTCAACCGCTTGTAATTTTAACTGTCTTTAAGTGAGCAAATAAATGTTTTTGCCAGCTTCTAACCAAGTTGCTGACGTTTCTGTAGATACCAAACATGTCTATGTTGAACTAAAAGAACTTATAGTAATTAAAGTAGAAAGCCGGGGGTTTGGGCTTAAAAGATGACTGAAGCAATTGGCGGGCCGAACTTTGATCCCTTGTGGGCCGGATGTGGCCCGCGGGCCGCCGGTTGAATAGCCCAGCTTTAGTTTATGTTGGTTTTTTTTGTTTGTTTTGTTTTTTTTAGTTTTTCAAAAACTAAATTTTGTTAATAACACAAAAATTATTTAACTTTTACAAAATTGTGTTTGTGTGAAAATTAAGTTTTTTTGTTGCCATTTTTCCAAGACACTTTACGTTACAGATAAGAGAATTGTCCTAAACTTTTGTTATTATTATCATCATCATCCTTATTATTTTAAAAACCTATCCTAACCCTTTCTGTGATTTCTAGCAGCTGCCCAGGTTAGATTTGTTGTTTTGCCATTTACTAATAAAGATTTTGTTTTTAGTGTTTGACATTATAGATGAGCAAAAGTGGTCTTAGTTTGTGTTTTCTCTACTTGTGTGTTTGAGGGGAACTTAAATGTTAACTTAAACATAAGATGCCTTTTGTAAGGAACTAACAGAACCATACAGAGGAACATGACAAACAGAATAATCTGATTTTTGACAATGTATTTTACGGCCTTCAGCAGATCTAAACTTTGTAATATATGTCTATGGAACATTTTGGACAGATTAGATATCAGTCAAGCCTTAGTGCAAGAATGCATCTAAAGACAAAACCCTGAGGAATGGAGCAGGGCACCACCCCTATTGTTTTTATGTGAGTACATAAAAAAAACACCCAAACGATCCAAAGGCTGTGGATACGAAGAGACCTGCAGTGCAGCATCCCCAGGCTTCTTCTCCCACCTTTCAGAGGGCATGCCATCCGTGTTGCTGCTGTGTCTTCTCTGCATGGCATCACCACATGGTCCAACCCTGCAAAAGGAACCACCATCATTCTGACAGGCCGCCTCTGATCTGCAGCTCTTCTTCTTTTACTGTTTGATGTCGCAGAGAATCAGACGCACGGTCACGTGACCACTTTACCTGGGTTAGCGCTGTGAATTGTCCTGGCATCGTGAGTATAACAGAACAGGTAGCTTCTTTAATGTTGATGCTCTGACCAACATTGGCTCTGACGCTCTGCTGGAAGGACTTCCTGTATGACGTCAGTGAAGACGCTTGTGCGAAACAGGAAAAAGGCAAGCCCATTTGTCATATAAATGTAAGCCAGGTCCCACAGTGATTTGACAATTCATTGGCTTTGCGACTATCCAGAACAGTCCCTAGACTGTGGAATATTATGGAAGCAAAGAAGTAAAAATACTCTAATTAAAATGGATTCCATAGTTTAATATGTTTAAGATAAAATAAGATGAAATTTTATTGATCCCACAGTGGGGAAATTTGCACATTACAGCAGCTCAAAAACAGGACAGAGTGAGATAGAATAAAGAAAGATAAGTAAAAGAAGAACAAAAAAACACTATACTCATGATATATAACAATGTACATATACCTATTACAGTACATAAATGAATGTATATGAAGGTGCATATTAGTGATGGTAGTGTAGGTGAATTGTCCAAGTGACTGATAACATCATGATGTGTTATACAGTCTAACTGCAGTTGGAATGAATGACGTTACATCTCCTAATGCTCACTTCTATATGGTGCAGAATGAAAATGAAAATTTAAATATCTGAAATGACGATTGTGGATGAGAAGAAAGCCATAACTCATGCATGTTTCCAGATGTACTGATCTACTTTTCTGAATTTGGCTTGAGGTGTAGAAACCACGACTTCTGGTTGAAGTGGAACTGCTGTTGCTCAATGAAGAGAGGACTCTGAAAACAGGCTGGTTGAACAGCAAGAATCTTTATTTTTGCAGTCCAGGAGATAACAGCCAAAAACCAAATTGTGGCCTTCAATGCCAAATGATTCACCAAGTAAGAAGATGAAGACGAAGGCCAAGAGCAGGGGCATACAAGGCTCTTTATAGGCTTTCACAGATGTAACATAAATCTTGTCATGGTATACCTTCTTCCTAACATGGTAATATGTGCCGAGCTCTGAAGCTGGAAACTAAGAGGCATCACATCTGTGCATTCC